TTCATATTATCTTTGATGAGTATAACCCATTTAAGAATGTACAGGAACAAGAGGATAATGATTTTGAAATTATATTGATAAGAAACAAGGACAAAGAAGAAATTCAAATGCATACCAGAGAAGAGAAAACAATTCCAGAAGAAAATCAACTAGAAAATGTTAAAGTTCCTCAACATGAAATTCCAGAAGAACAAGATAATGAGGAACCAGCATTTGAAGAAGAAGGTGAATGAACTGAGTAAAAAACTCCTTATATAGGAGTTTCAGCAAGAGAATTTTGGCCTAAGCCATTCAAATATCAAGGATCTCATCCTACTGATCTCATCCCACTGATCTCATCATCAGAGATTAGTAGAGGAACCCAGACAAGATCTTAGATGAGGAAATTCTGCGCATTCAATGCATTTCTCTTCATCTAGAACCTCAAAATTATCAGGAAGCCTTGGAAGATTCTGATTGGATCATAGCCATGCAATAGGAACTAAAAGAATTTGAAAGAAACAAAGTCTTGCATCTTGATGTCAAACCAAAGGACAAGAAGGTCATTGGACTCAAGTGGGTGTTCAAGAACAAGCTGGACAAATATGGAATAATAGTGAGGAATAAAGCTCGTTTGGTTGTGAAAGGCTACAATCAAAGGGAACGTATTGATTTCGAACATACCTTTGTAGCAGTAGCTAGATTAGAAGCTATTAGAATACTTATTGCCTTTTCTTCTTTTATGGGTTTTCAAACTCTATAAAATGGATGTGAAATGTGTTTTTCTCAATAGTTACTTGATGGAGGATGTGTTTATAGAAAAACCTCTAGGTTTTGAAAATCCAAAATTTTCTAATCATGTTTTCAAGCTTGATAAAGCCCTTTACGGTATTAAGCAAGCTCCAAAATCCTGGTATGAAAGGCACTCTAAGTTCCTTTTGCAAAATGATTTCAAAAGAGGAAAAGTGGACAAAACTTTGTTTTTAAAATCTCATGGAACTGATCTTTTAGTTGTACAAATTTATGTGGATGCTATTATTTTATGTGCAAATAATGATGTCTTGTGCAAGTACTTCACTGAACTCATGAGTGGTGAGTTTGAGATGAGTATGATGAGAGAATTGAATTTATTACTTAGACTACAAATCAAGCAGACCGAGTGATTGTAAGAGTTTATAGGTACAAATTGCAGAAACTTGAATCACATTCATATAGCACCTAATCCCAAGATCATGCATAACACATAAAGAATTAGAATTAATACCTTTATAGCGTGATTCCACGTGTCATCGAACAAGAACAAGGGAGACAAAGAACCTCAAACGTGATTCCTCAACTTGGTCCACGAGCACTAATTAAGACCTTTACTAATGCTAGTTAGTTGCAATTGAACCCTTCAATTGACCTTCTAAGGAGAAGAACGGGCAACAAACCAATCACGAACCACCACAAACCACCACACGCGTCACTAGTGGTGGCCGACCGTGAGTCTAAAGGGGAGGAGAAAGAGAGCCGTGGGTTAGAGAGAGAGAGTGAGAGGGTTTTGGGATTTTCGGTTGCTTGATTCACAATCAACAGTTAATTATGTTGTTTCTTACAACCCTAGGCATGGATCTTATTTATAGATCTCATCTCTAAATAAGTGTCCATGACCAAGCCCAAAACCTAACTCTAATTTAACTATGCTAGCCCAATATAATTTATGATTAGTTACTTACTGATGAGGCCCATAAATGGGCCTCTAACTTGCTTAACCCAATACCCTTGTTTGTGACCTCATAGGATCCATTCTAGTGGGCTTTGGACTATTTGACTAGCCCAAAGATCATTGATCACAGTCTAGCAATAGATAATGACGACCCAAAAGAAAAAACTTATTATCTTCATAATAGTGATCCTATATATATCTAGTAATTGCACTTATCGAAGACAGAACTCCTTCAATCTCCCACTTGTCTGAGACAAGTGCGCATTATTCAAATTCCTTAAGTCAATGTGTGTCCATTTGATAATATGATTGCATCTTATGTCATGATCATATTACTCGACAAATCTTTTCTTGAAATCAAAGTTAGAATTACAAAGCAATGGATTACTATGTAATCCATTTGAGCACGGCTATGCATTTTTTGAATTCTCCCTCTTCAAGGGGCCAAGACACATCCCTAATTAAATAGGTAGACTCAATCAAATCTTGTGGCAACTAATGCTGCCACCCAACTCATGAAGTAACCAGGAAACACCCTTTATAATCTCCAGATGCGGCTAGACGTGTGAGTGTGCCATAGCTAAATCAATCATTGAATGAAATCAATGTTCCACTCATGTCAAAGGAATCCACTAATATATCCGAAGCTCTATACTTGAACTTTAAAGTAGGTTTATAGTTCGATCATGCATCATTCATTCATATCCATGTGATTGACCGAGCATTATCACTATGCCCCTATAGCTCATGAAACTGCATTGTCCTATCAACCTTACATGCTAATCCAATTTATGAAATCATTTATGTCCAATTTAATGATTCAGAACTAGGAACTTAAATAATATATGGGTTCTGTTCACCCGTGGGGTTTCATTCACCAGGTCATCGACTTGATGAGACCATTAATCCATAATTATTTTGGACATTTTATTTAATATCATAACCATAATTAAATAAGATTGAAAGATTGTTTCAATTGATAAACATAATTCTTCAAGTTGATGTATTACTTATGTAATATGCTTTCTCAAAACATATACAACTTAAATTACATAACTTGCTTCAATCCAAGAACCTAAGTATGACTCTCATACCTTGGTCATGGAAGGGTTTTAGTAAGTAGAGTTCATGAGACATTCTCATAAACATGAATTTTGCAACTTCTAAATTTTATAATAATATTTATCTCCATACACTAAGAATTCTCCTTCGTCCTTTTGCAAGGAACTTAGGAATTTCTAATTTGTATTCCAACGTTACATTGGATTTTGATTGAAATCTATCATCACTTGTTCTTAAAACACGTGAATTAAATAGACGAGTATAGTCCATGATATGCATGATGCATCCATTACGAACTGCATAAGGAGCATCACTCAAAACATTAATTTCATCAACCTTTCTCAAAGCATTAAATCTTTAATCAATGTGTCATGTTACATGGGATTGAAACTCCTTTCAATATAATATTGAACCTTATAAGAATCTTATCAATACAAGTTTCTTAACCAAGCTCAAATATAATTGAAAACCTATCTCTATAGATCTTGAATCCTAACTTTACTCATTTTCCTCTTCTAGGTTTTCATACAAAATACATTACCCACCACTTGACTCTTCAAGCAATGAATAAAGGCTCTTTATACTAGACCAAGAAGACTGTATAGCTCCCACTAAAAATCTTGTATACAGGTAGATGGAGCATGAATTCTCATAGGGTTATGTCCATATGTAGAACACATATGGGTTTTAGAAAAGTGAGAAAAACTCAATCAGGAAGTAGAATCGAGCCAACAGTGCTAGCTGGTCGAAACAAGAAGGCAGATTTCTGGCTCGGTATTGGAAGAACGCAGCGCCAGCCAAAAGAGACTGTCGCCAGGATATGAGCCTTGTCGCTAGGCGACAGAGCCATATCTTCAGCGACAGGCTCTGTTTTCTAGACGCCAGTTTCTACATGCCTCAGCAGCTGTCTGTGTTCTTAGAATTTTCTAATTTTTGCAGTATTATTTCGATTCTAGTTGTGAAAGATATTTCTCAAGTTTCCTACGTGTAAAAATCCTATGTTTTTTACTCATTACGGATGGTCTTTCAAATGAGAACCTTTTTTTTTATGCATGTTCCCTTAAAAGAACCCTAGTTATGATCTTTTCCTTTTTCGTCACAAACACGAAGACAACTCTTTGTGACAGTCCATCAACAAGAATTGATACAAAGGTAAGTAGAGCTTTTTTTTGGACTGAAGTATTTGTTTTGCTTGTTTTGGGCATTATTAGTACAATTCTGAAGTTTGTTAATGGAATTAAATATCTTTAAAGGTAATATTTGAATACCTTTATATTGAATGTTTTGAATCCGATTCTGGAATTTAAGATCTAGAATTTCAGTACCAAATAAATCTGTAATCCCATCCCCTTGTATTTCTCTTTACGTAAACTAAAGGGGATGGAAAGAAAAGGAGATCAAGGGAGTGGTAAGTTAGGGGGTAGGCTGGTAATTACAAATGACAAGGTTATTTTGTCATTTCAAAACCTTTGATTTTGGGCCCTTTTAAGAACATTTCATTGAATTGGACCTATTTCAAATTTGAAATTCTTTGGGAATCCAAACAATAGATTTACCCAATTCTAGATGAAATCCTAGTATCCAAATATTTCATATATTATAAATGGGGTAATGATATATTTAGCCCTTAGGGCTATATATAAGCATTTAATATACTTCCTATTAAGTTGGGAATTAATGACAAAATCACGCGCAGATCGGTGTAATTAATGTTACTTATCCTCAATATTTCCTTTTATAGCTTCTTATTCATAGCCCTTAGGGCTATGTTTATCATTTCCCATTATAAATTTGGTGGATAGTTTGGAGGATCGGAAAATGCTTTGTGAAATTTGTATCTCACTTACCATACTTAGAAACATTAAGAAAATGAATTAGCTTAATGAGGTGGGCCATTGAGGTTTAATGGTACATGGAAGAGTACAAAATGCACCAAAAGATGGTTATCTTACACTAAAGATACTAATTTTAGTCCATTCATTAATCATAACTATCTTGATATTTCATCAAACCTGAGTGGATGTTCCTATTCGAAGGTCAATGTTTCATCAAGAAAGGTACAACTTGTTCAGGGGTATACAAAGTTCTTTTCCACATAACACAATGAAAACTCACCTCCCCTGCCCCAAAATTCTCAACAGCTGTCCTACGTTATGCTCCATATTGAAACTACAACAAATGCAAGAAACAACTACGACTTTAAGGTGCAGCCAAAAGAAATCAACATACCTTTGCTTCAGATTGTTCATTTTCGTCAGCCATTGTTGGGGGTACCTAAGAACATTCAGAATAGAAATAAAATCAACCATATATTATGCATAAAAAAAATTTAGTAAATAATATAAAGCTTGCAGCAATGCTTTAGTGATGTTCCATTACTTTTTAAACACATGTTTCACACTGAGCTATATTTTTTACTCCATTAAAAGAATCAAGCACAGGCTGAATATCAAAATACAAGTGATGTGGTGAAATAATGGGTCAACAATTAAAAACTTCATCAAATATTCTTATTTGTGGTGATGTATCAAATTTTGGATGATTGAAGGTAAAAGTATGAGAAGAGGAGGGGTTGTAATGGGTTCTTTACTGAATGTTATTTTGGATGATATACTACAAGAGGGGGGGTGAATTGTAGTATGTTCCTAGTGCCTACTTTTCGCGAAATATAAAACTGATTGCTGTTAGGAACTTAGACTATACAAAGCGGATTTTACGAGGAAACCATCCAGGGCCCAACTGGAAGTAAAACCTCGACCCTATTTTAGGGATTTCAAACACAAACCACTTCACTATAATAGGGCAAACACCAAGTTACAACCTATTAGACACAGACCTTTATTTCACAAGTTCCTCACCGGACTTGCTACTTGATAGGACCCTATCCTACCCAATCTAAGTATCACACTTAGATTCACTCGTACCACCAAAGTACTACACGTACTGCCAAAGTACAACTACTTGTACCACCTAAGTACAAAACTCACAGCTTCACCTAGAAGCTTACACAAACTACTCTTACTATACAATTATAATGAGAATCCTCACGAACTCTCACACCCCAATACATAAAACACTCAAAACCCTTTTTCCCAATTACAAGATCTCAAAGAATAACTCTAAATACATACCAATGAATAAAGAGATAAAACTAATATGTTGGACACTTGAGATCTGTCTGGAACTTACTGGACGATCTGTAACTGGAACCTGACTGGAACTTCGACCTGCAGGTTTGACTTAGCTTCGTGGTGAAGGATGAAACCATTAAGCACGACCACTAAGCTTCATCAGCCTCGACTTTGAATGAATACATATGAGCATATTTATAGTACACCCAAATCATCCTTTTCGTAAAAGATAAGTTTTATTAAAAGATAGACATAAAAGATATTTTCCAAAAATAAGTTTTCTAAAAATATATCTTTTGTTAAGAATATATTCTATTAATAATAATAAGATATATTTACCATAAAATCAGATTTTATCTAAATCTTATATTTTCCAAATATACTAATATATCTTTTAACAAAAGATATACTTACCATATCTTTTTACAAAAGATATACTTGCCATATCTTTTTATAAAAGATATACTTACCATATCTTTTTACAAAAGATATATTTACCAAATCTTTTAACAAAAGATATACTTGCCATAAAATTAGATTTTATTTAAAACTTATTTTATTGAAAATATTTTCCAAAAATAACTTATCTTTTTCCATAAGGGATTTATTAGAAAATAAATATTTTTATTCTGTAAAATCAAATCCCTAAAAGATATGCACGTATTAGGTAAATATTTATATCATTAAATTCGACCTGCGACCTTTAACGTCGTGCAGACCTAAGTTTCGATTAGGTTTCGGAACTCTGATAGTCTCTAAGTTCCTGACAAGTCAGTGACTCTTATTTCATTGACTATCATGAGTTCACCTTGGTTCTTTAGACTTGTTCCAGACTGACTTTTATGTCCAACATACTTACATGAATCCTAAAGTGATATACTTCGATTTCTCCTTCTTCATGTTGTTTCGTTGAAACTCTTTTTCTAGAATCTTGTAGTATTGATGTATTCTAGATCTCGTGGCAACGTTAAGTTCCTGTTAGGGAACTTAGATAGTTCTTGTTAGAGAACTAAGTTCCTGTTAGGGAACTCTTCATGTACCTGTTAGGGAACATGGAACTCTTCATGTACCTGTTAGGGAACATGCTCCGGCTCTCGTGGGAAAGCCTGCCAAAGGTTCCTTCTGCATCTCGTTAGAGAATATCTTCTGGTTCCTTCATGGTTTGGTTCTTGTGGGAGAACCTGCTTTAGGTTCATTCATTCTCTCTTGTTCCTCTTGAAGTCTTCTATGTTCCAACCCATTGACTTCACCTAAGTCACTTCTGTCTTCACATAAACACTTAAGAGAAACATTATATTGAAGTTTGTTTGTCATAAACAAACTTCAAGTGAGAGAACTAATTAAACTTAAAGCTTATGTAAATACTCCTACACATATACAACTCATGTATGCATAGTGTACTTACCCTATGAAGCTAACATATGCAAACACTTATTTACATAATTACCTTCATGGTTCTTTAGCCATCATCATGTTTATCAACCATAATAACACTCATCATTGTTCTTGTTTCTCTATTGCTTATCATATATTGCTCAGGTTCCTTATATATATATATATGTGACATTGCTCAGGTTCCTTGTATCTTGTTCTAAGAATAACTTGTTCTTTCTATGCATAACTTAACAAACACGTTAGATAGATAATCATCATTAGTTTACAATCATCAAAACCTAATTACTCAACACTGAAAATAAAAAGTTATAATACTAAGTGGGAGGAGGTGATAGGATGGGGACAAGCAGCATGTCAAATAACTCAAATTCCTGTTTAAATATAGATATACTAACGCATTTCAAGACCCACCCACTAGAATTCCATTTTCATATGAGGTGTTAATTAAATACGAGAGGTATCTATCAAAACTAACCTCCATTCGGCTCATGGGTCGTTTAGATCTGAGCTGCTCAATAGCATCTCCAGTGCTACTCCTGGCAGGTTCTACATAAACAAAAGATATAGAAATAAATTACAGAACAATTAGCATTTAAGAGATCAAAAGTTTAGCACCCATTCTAAATAAAGAATATAAGCTACTACAGGCATGCCTCTAGATCCACCTGAGGAATTGCTACTAGAGAATCCCATTCCATGCAATGCATTCGAAGTAGCCTGAAGATTATTAAGCCATCTAAGTTGGATCAAAACTAAAGTAAATCCATATACTTGCAGGTATTAATTTAAATCTACCTTGTCAATGTATTCATGCACTGGATCAAATAACCTTGCCGGAACATCATCCTCTTGAGGTTGCAAAACATTATTGAAAAATATACTTATGGAATCAAAGTAAAACTGGATTAATAAGCGCAGAAATATATGTACAACTATATTTTAGGATGAAATAGGCAGGCAAACAATAGCTGATCAATACGTATATCCTAACATGGATAGTTTAATTCTCCTTACCAAATTAAAGAAACTATCCTAAAGTTACAATAAAATTGGATTACACCATTTTATCCTGCTAACAAGTAACAAGAGACAGTTTTCTATTCTGTAGTATTTGGTTGTTCCAATTACAAAGCTTTTTTTTGTCACAAATGTTTCCTTGATTATTTTGTTTGTTTCACATGTAGTTCTTGCCAGCTAGGAAACTAGGACACTACATATATGACAACATTACAGGGAAATCAAATCTCTGGCAGCATCAAAAAGATGTCAAGGAGTAAATACTCCGCCAATAAAAAATAAGAGTGTCACCAAAAAATAGTCAACAATATACAGTTAAAGACTTAAAAGTTTTTTATTATCTGAGAAAACTTAAGTAGAAAACTTTTTGTTATCTGTAAGCCTATATTTTTTTACCATCTGTAAGACTTAGAAGTTTTCAAATGATGATAAAAATATATAGGCTTACAGATACATAGTAAAAAAAAAATTTATTCACAATTATCTAAAGCACAAAACTGTCGTCACATGGAAAACTTCAGCTGTATCACATGCATAAATGTTTCAACTGAGCCAATAGATACAAAGAGTAAGAGATACATAGTTACGATGAAGTATATAAGAATTTATCATAGTAATATAAAAGATCAATTATGAACCATTAATGGTTTTAGATAGTTTCTTTCTTAAAAGGGAGAAAAACATTAAACTCACCATGTGAACATCATGTATGCGTTCAGAATGGTGAGGCTGTATAAAATCATCGTCAATTGCATGGCCAAACAACACCGGAACAAAGGAAGACTTTGCAACCTATCAAAATCATTCATAACAGCACCAAAGTCAAAGAGCTTCTTCTACTAGGACATCTAAATTATAATGTAGGAACAAAAATCAAAGAAAATGCCCTCCAACACATCATGAATCAACCTCCCTTTCTAATGCATTGACCAGATACCTAACAATGATTTTTTGGCAACTAGCACATAAAGTACTTTAACATAATGCAGCAAAGATCTACCTTCATGCAAGACACATGAATGTTTCCAAACATTACATATACAAAATTCTTTTAGGCTGTGTAGTACCTTTTACTCAGTAATAAGGTTATTCATTCAAATGGAGTGTTTTGAGTTATTTATTAAACAGTGCAAGAGACTAACACCACAGTAGATTTTGTATTTAGTAGAAAGAAAGAATTTACATTTAGGGTGTGTTTGGATAAAGAAATGGGAAAGAAAAGAAAGGGAGGGAGGTGCAGGGGATGGAAGAGAAAGGGAGGGGGGGAGGGAAGAAATAGGAGTTTTCCTTCCAAATCTCTCCATTGTTGGAGAGATTAAATTCTTACAATTTAATCCTTCCATTTCTCTCCCCTCCAATTCCCTTCCTTCCACATTTGTTATCCAAATAAAAGACAATCTATCCCTCAATTTCCCTTCCCTTCCTTTCCTTCTATTTCCATCAATACAAACAAAGTGTTAGATTGCAAAAAAGTTGAACAAAAAAGTCAAATTGCAACAAATTTATGATGTAATGAAAGCACATTGAACGTTAATGGTGTTCAGGTCCATAATGTCAAATTTTGCTTTCTTCATGATTGCTCTTCGCATGTATTGGATGGCAAATTTTACCTATTAAAGAAAAAATATAAATGGTAATGTCAATATAAGAAATTACAATAATTTGAGACGGTAATAGAGCAGTATTGGTAATATCATCAGTTCATCACATACGCACATAAATTTATCATTTGATTATGATAATGTATTTTACTAAAAGTGGCAGCATAGATGTCAATAGTCACAAAAAGAGACAATGCACACATACTTCAGCAGAAGTTTAACATTACACTTGGCAGAATCAGTTAAGTACATTCATATGAGTAATAGTTCCTTTCATAGAAACTATTTATGAAAAATGTATATGCTACATGGTGATGCACAAATTTGAAAGTTCTTACATCAAACATTTCATAATGGATCTTGTTCACTGAGTTTTAAAAAGTATCCAATCCCTCAAATGTTTGGAACATAGCAGAACATCTTCATTGCCAATTTACATTTAAAATGACAATAATGTTAATCAAAATTACGCACATGAAATACTAAGAACTTTTCGATTCTCATCCACTCATTCTAAATAATTGCCGAAATAAATTTCAGGAATTAAAATAGAAATCCTCCCCAGTGGATTCGCAAAAAACTGTAGGGAATATTTCAAGCATTACCCCAAACTTGAACCCCACTGTGATCATATACTTAAGCATGGTGGCGTCTAAAGGGAAGGAAGCTAGAGCAAAAGAGACGTCAACAAGTTTTAGGAACTTGTAAACCGTTAACAGGGTGAAGGTTACACCCCTTAACGATCCATGAGATCAATAACTCCAATAGGTCTGGAACCAAGCTGGTAGTTCGGGGATGAAGGTACAAATCCAATCTAAAAGAGAAAGAACCTGCCCTAATAATATGCCTCTACTTTATTCTTCTCGTATTCATGTGCACTTTCTGACTAACATGCAATCATTAAATTAACCCTAAACCTGTTTAATCTATGTTGATTGAGTATTAATACACAAATAAATCTATTATTGGCAATCACTTGAATTATAATTATATTAGCCTAAACAAGATTATTAATTATCTTATTAAGCGTGATTACAAGTACCAATTCCCTTTAAACATGCATAAAAGGTGTGATCAAGCAATAACAATATATAATATCAAGAAACATTAGCATAACAATAACCATAATTAAAAATCATAATTAAAATATTCATATTAAAGCATAATAATAGCAAGATCCTAGGCATGATACTAACAAGATTAATAACAAACCCTAGCATGTCACTAAACAATAAATATCAAAGTTTTAGCCCTAACATGATAATAACATGCTATTAAGAAAGAAAATATGAAGCATCATAGAAATCATACTTGATACAAGGAACTTATTCTTTACCCTAAACATCATACTAAGAAAAGCATCCTAACATGATACTAGGAAAAGCATCCTAACATGATACTAGGAATCAAAATAACAACCTAAACATGATATCTATATCATAATATCAATTAAAGAATTAAACCACTTACTTGGATGCCTCGTACCTCTTTCTAATAACAAAATACACACGTTAGTAAATTCAAGGAAAATAATAAATCAAAGCAATTATTTAATTGCTATAGAGATTTGGGACCAGACCCTCAGAAATACCAAACCTTTCACGTCTAGGCCGGGCGAAGGAAACTTCGAATTATGCTAGATGTGTTTAGATCTCGTGAATGCGGAATTTTGTTTGTGAAAAGTTGGTTTAGAAAGAGAGAGAGAATATATCAAGAATTTCTTAATGAGAGTTGGTGGGAATTCATGAGAATTGACGATTAAAAACAAAGGTCTAAGGACGCTATTTATAATGAAAACAGTCCGGATATGTCGCGAGGCGATAGCCTGACGTTTGGCGCTGCAGACGATTTTTCCACACGTTTTCTATATTTTTTTTGATAAAATTAAGTCATAAAAGTCTGTACAAGGGGTAAAATTGTAATTTCATTTAAAACACTTCTTTTATTATAAATAAAACTCATAAAACTTAATTATCAATCTTAATCACATTAGGATGCAAAAGAACCTTCTAGAAGATTCTAGAAGACTATAATCAATCTTAATTGCATTAGAAATGATAATTCATAGTAGGCCCTCCTCTAGAACATTGGGCCACATATAAAGATCAAACCGGGCCCAGTATAGTAATTTGGCCATAACTTCCTCATTATTCATCGGAATTGGGCTTATAATATATCATTGGAAAGCTCTTTTTGAGCCCAATCCAACTACACTACTATTGGACCCTTGTTATGGTCCAAAATAAAGTGTATTGACTATTTTCATAAAATAGAGTAAGTTTCGAAAACAGAAAGAAAGATTTTTATAAAAACTAACCGCAACACTAGATTTTCCACACTTTCACTTCATTCGATTATGGTTCGACGCGAAAGGTATTCATCACTGGGTTTAGTTTATGGGGAGACACATTTGGGTGTCTACACTAGTTGACAAACCACCATGGATGGGGAGGAAGCTGTACAAACACCCATACCCAAGGCCAATGACGCCAACCAAACACCACAAAAAACACCACCAGCAACCATCGATCTTAAAAGATCTGTCGAGAAACCCAAATCCACCGTCTCGCAAAAATCCAACCCCACTGGATCGACGTCTGTTGCAGCTAAAGTAATGTCAAAACCATTCGATCCGGTAGGATCTAGTTCAATTTTCAAGTACGGTATGCAATTGACAGGCGCAAACAATGAACCCATTGTTTCAGCACCCATAGCCCAAAAACCATAGCCCGTAAACATGCCAGCAATCTGGCAAAACCTCTCTAAGTGTAGTAAGGAGCATTTGGCAGCAATGACAACAATCCTTTCTAACTTTGGTAAGGGAGTGAGCTCGTCACCAGTAGCAGCAGCTACAGAACCAGCGGTGAAGAAGGCAACACCATCAACCCTCACTCAAACTGAGGAAGAAGGTGTTGCAATTGAAAGATCGGAATCTGAACCAAGAATGGAGCGTGGAGGAAATAACCCAGGCTAAGGGCAGCCCGGAGACGAGTCGCCCGGAGCAGGTCACCAGCCTTTGAGCAAGGACCGAGCCTAGATAGGGAGAAGCGAGCACGGATCCAGGTTATTCCTGATGAATCCCCATTTTTCCGGGAGATTCTAGAAGAACCGATGGAGAAGATAAAGATGTCAAGCTGCAAGTACAACAAAACTACAATACCTAAGAATCATATCTCAGCTTTTGAGAACCACATGGCGCTCTACACCATGCCAGACTCAGTCTGGTGCAAAGCTTTCTCTTCAACTCTGGAGGGGCTGGCAGCGGAGTGGCATGGAACCATTCCCAAGAGTTCTGTGTACTCATATAATCAGCTGAAAAGGATGTTTATGGAGCATTTTATCACCTTGGTAGATCGAACTAAGATGACAGCTGAGTTAATGTCACTATTTCAGGGGAAAGATGAGCCCCTGAGGGAGTTTATCACCAGATTCAACAAGGAGGCAACAACCATCCCAAACATGAGCCAAGAGGTAGCGTTGCTGGCAATGCAGAGCGGTTTGCTACCAGGCTCACCATTTAAGAGCGCATATGGGGCGTAAGAACCTCAAGACGTTATCTGAAGTGCTAGGTAAAGCGCACGAGTTCATCAAGGAGGACGAGACTGACAGAGCAATGCTGAGCAGGAAGGCGCCAACCGACCAAGTTAAGCGGGCAGAAGTCACCCGGGCAGAAAACACAGCAAGGACTGACCAACCAAGCAAAGCTGAGCAAGGTGATAGGGAGGCAGATCAAGCTATTGGGGTGAGAAGGGTAGACCCGACACTAGTAGAAAATATAAAAAAGGCACCCCCTAATTGGCACCGGTTCAAAACCGGTGCCAAAAATGGCCTACAAAATTGGTGGGAAGGTAAACTAGAGTAAAAGGCACCGGTTCACTTCAAACCGGTTCCAAAATCATAAAGGCCACCGGTTTAAACCGAAGTCTTTGTGAACCGGACCTTTTATTATTAAAAAAAAACCGGCCTTATCTCTCCTTAAAACCCTAAAAGCTTAGCTTGCTCCTTCTCTCTCCTATCAGTCCGCCTCTTTCACTCTCTCCTCTCCCTTCTCTCTCCTCTGCTCTCTCTTAATCTCTTCTCTTTCTCTTCGAACCTCTTCTCTTTCTCTTCGAACACCACCGCAACAACACCTTCTCGATCTCTCCTCTGCTCTCCTTTAAACCGCAACAACAACAACATGCAATAATAAACCGCAACAACAACATGCAACAACAACACCGCAAAGCCGCCGCCACCACCGTAACATCAAGTTGATTTGGGTTTGTTCGAAGTTGATTTTGGGTTTAATTGATTTGATGAGTGTCTTCGAAATTTTTTATGGGTTTCTTTAAAAAAAACTTGTTTAATCCACCACGAATTAAATTTGTTTTATTGATTTATTTTTTATTTTAATCGATTTAAATTTGTGTTTTTTAAGTGATTTTCGATTTTCTAGTTTGGTTAATCAATTTTTAAACTTATTTTAATTCGAATTTTTTTTAATTTCTGGGTTTTTTTGTCGAATTTTTTTTTTATTTTCTGGGTTTTAATTGATGTTCTGGGTTTTAATTGATTTTCAGGGTTGTAATTGATGTTCTGCGTTTTTGAACTGATTTTTTTTTTTTCGATTTTCTGGGTTTTTTTTGGATTTTTGAACTTTTTTTTTTTTGGATTTTTGTGGTTTTTTTTTTTTTTTTTTTTTTTTTTTTTTTTTTTTTTCCGATTCGTTTTCTTTTTTGAACTGATTTTCATTTTCATTTTCTGGGTTATTCGTTTCTTTTTTTCGATTTTCTTTTTTTTTTCGATTTTCTGGGTTTTTGAATTGATTCATGTTAATCGATTCATTTTGGTTGGTTTAATTGGTGCAGTTATATGGATTTAGTTTTAAATTGAAGAATCAACATGCAAGTATATTGATCTTAAATCGAAGAATCAACTGATTTTCTTTTTTTTTTTTAATTATATTGTAATTTTTTTTATTTATATGTTGTAATTTTTTTATTTTGATTTAGCTGTTGTAATTTATTTTGCTCTATACTGTAATTTTTTTTTATTATATATATATAATGAACAGATTTGATTATATTAATATTTTGGCACTTTTGGTTATTATTAAGATTTGATTATACTGTAATTTATAATGAACAGATTTAATTATATTAATATTAATACAAATTTAATTTTTAAGTAAAAAATAAAAAAATTATTATGTTGGCACTTTTGGCACCGGTTAACCGGTGCCAATTTCAAGTTTTGGCACCGGTTTGAACCGGTGCCTTTTTAAACCCCTTTTTGGTATCCCCCACATTGGCACCGGTTCAAACCGGTGCCTTAGGCCAGGTTTGAACCGGTGCCAAATTCGTTTTTTCACGTAGTGCGAAGAGGGGAGGAAGACCTGGAAGGTTCGACTAGTATACCCCGCTCACTCACTCGAGATCCCAGATTTTCAGCGTGAACAAAGCTGATGACAAGTGGCAGAGACCTCCAAGGATGGTTAATAGGAACCGTGATCCCAGCAAGTGGTGTGACTTCCATAGGGACCACGGCCACACAACTGATGAATGCACACACGTGAAAGATAACATAGAAAACCTAGTCAAAAGAGGGTATCCGAACTAGTTCAAACAGCAGGCTGATCCCCCTAAAAGAAGAGAAGAAGACAGAGTAGCCCGTAACCACAGAGGAGGTCACAAAGGTCCCGCTGAGGATAGAGACAACAAGCCAAAAGGTAGGGTGAATATGAACAGCGGAGGACCGATGCATGGGGGAGCAGTGAACAAGGCGTGGGCAGACCTGCGAGCAATGATACATCAGATTAACCATAATGAGAAGCGTAGGTGGCCACCTCTTTCCCCGCAGCCGCGAGCTACATTTGATGAGCATGAAAAGAAGGGCATAATCTATCCTCATGATGATCCTCTGATAGTAATGATGAGAATTGCAAAATGTGAGGTAGACCGAGTATTGATAGATTGGGGGAGCTCAGCCAACATCATATATATCAGCGCGTTCAAAGAGTTGAAGTTAGACAGAAAGGACCTAAAAAGGGTGAGTTATGAAGTCACCGAGTTTAACGGATCTAGATTGACCCCGGAAAGTATAATCTAGCTCTCAGTCCGAGTAGGAGAAAGGTAAAAAAGACGCGATATTCGAGCAGATTTCCTGGTGATAGACTCTCCTTCACCTTACAATGTGATCATGGGGAGGCCACTTATTCACAAGATTGGCGGAGTGGTTTCCACCTATCTTCTTCCCATGGCTTACACAACCAATGGAGGGCGGTCAGCAAAGCTCAAGGGAAGCCAGAAAACAGCTCAACAATGTTACGTAGCTGCCCTAAAGCAGCCCGCTAGGACCAGACAGCAGCCACTCTCAGAGCAAAGATCCGTTGAACAAGTTGAGAAAAAGTCAAGAAAAAGAAAGGGCGAAGAATATCAAAGGGAGAAGGATAAACAAAAGCTGGCCATGGAAAATTTTGAGCTTGGAAAGGAAGAGATGGCTAGACCGCTTCCCAGCGGGGAGCATATTACAGTTGAGCTCACAGAAGGTGATCCTTTAAGAACAGTAAAAATCGGAAAGGACATTGATCTTGGAATGGGGGTGCACCTCATAGAATTGTTGAGGAAGAACAAGGACATATTCGCATTTTCAGTAGATGAGATGTCCGGAATTAACCCTAAAGTCATGGTCCACAGGCTGAACGTGAAGGAAGATGTTAAACCAGTAAGGCAGAAAAAACGAAGCTTCTCCACGGAGAAAAATCGGGCAATTCTAGAAGAAGTGGAAAAACTCCTAGAAGCTGGATTTATTAAGCCTTGCGATTACCTGGAGTGGCTAGCCAACATGGTCATGGTGAAGAAGGCAAATGGCCAATGGAGGATGTGTGTTAATTTCACATATCTCAACAAAGCATGCCCAAAAGACTGTTATCCGCTGCCGCGAATCAATCATCTGGTAGATTCAACCAGCGGACACGCCCTGTTAAGCTTCATGGATACCTTCTCAGGATACCATCAAATCAATTTGCATAACCCAAACCAGCATAAAACCGCATTCATCACTAAGGGGGGAGTGTACAATTACATAGCTATGCCTTTCGGGTTGAAGAATGATGGAGCTACTTTTCAGAAGACAATGGATAGAGTGTTCATGCACCAGAAGGGTAGGAATGTTTAGGCATACATGGACGACTCAATTGTTAAGAGCGTCACGTAGGCAGGGCATATCATGGATCGGGAGGAAACATTTTCCACCCTAAACAAGTATAACATCAAACTTAACCCGAAGAAATTGTCTTCGGGGTAAGCTCGGGAAAGTTCCTAGGCTTCCTGATCATCGAGAGAGGGATAGATGCAAATCTGGAGAAGGTTGAAGCAGTCCTGAGCTTGCCCGAGCCTAAGTGCATTAAGGAGATCATGCGATTGACAGGCAGAATGGCCGCACTGACCAGGTTCATCAGCAAGTCTGCCGACAAAGCTTTACCGTTCTACCAGCTGCTGAAAGGGAACATGGAGTTTAAGTGGGGAGCCGCAGTAAAAGAAGCCTTTGAGGGAATCAAGGAGAATCTGACTAAGCTCCCAACAATGATCAGCCCGGAGCTGAAAGAAAAATTACAGTTGTACATTTCTGCGTCAATTCAAACAATCGCAGCTGTTCTCCGGGTAGAAACACAAAACCAGCAAAGACCAATATACTTTGTGAGCCACGTGCTGACTGAGGCCGAGCAAAGGTACCCATTGGTGGAGAAGTTGGCTTTTGCGGTAGTAACTACAGCAAGGAAGTTGAAACCATATTTTGACGCGCACATAATACAAATCCTCACAAATCACCCACTGGAGAAAGCATTACAAAAAATGGACGCGTCAGGCAGACTTTTGAAGTGGATCATTAAGCTCTCCGAGTATGAGTTTGAGGTCAAACCTAGGGCAGCTATCAAAGCGCAAGCCCTAGCAGACTTCATCGTGGAAGCCTCGTACGAGGAGAAAGAAGATGAGGTTGGAATTTGGAAGGTGGAGGTAGATGGATCATCAGCTCGAACAGGGAGCGGAGCAAGGATCATAATGACATCCCTATAAGGAAATGTATTTGAGTATGCCATTAGTTCAAATTCAAGGCATCAAACAACGAGGCAGAGTACGAGGCGGCTTTGACAGGCCTGCGTATGAGTAGCGCAGTCGGGGCCAAGAAAGTTCATCTGCAGATAAACTCTCAGCTTGTAGCTAGTCATCTGAAGGGGGATTATGAGATTAGGGAATCTACAATGCTGAAGTATGAAACCAAGGTAAAGGAGATGGCAGCTCAGCTAGTCCACTTCCAGATAGACTTGGTCCCGAGAGCGGGAAACTCCGAAGCTGACGCGCTATCAAAGTTAGCTTATTCCACCCTGTAGGGCCTCACAAGGACGTTGATGGTGGAAGTCCTAGAGGAAAGCAGTATCGCTGAAAAGGAGCAGGTGAATTGCATCGGGAAGCAACGAGCTTGGTTCACAGACATAATGGCATACAAAGTTCATGGCTTACTGCCGGATGATGAAGTGCAAGCTAAGAAAGTGAAGAAAGACG